CTTGTTGGTCTAAAACTTTTTGTTGGGTATTTATGTTAGTATATTTGACAGATTTTCTTATGCAATTCTGTTTAGCAAGCTTTTAAAGAGTGAACTGGGTAAGATAATTAAATGGAAACAATGCTAGCTAAAAACGATACTAAAAATTACTCATAAATTGTTCCTTGTCAGATTTGAGGAAGACACTGAATAGGTCACAACATTCAGTTTTGCACCCTTGTATTCTTCAACATTTTTATTTATTACTTAGAAGATGATGTAGAAGGAATGCTTATCAAATTTGCAGATGACACCAAATTGGGTGGGATAACTAATATTCTAGAGATAGAAATAAGGTTCATATATATTTCATGCTAACACAGACCAACACAAAATACTTTACTTAAGAAACAAAAAATCAAATGCACACCTAAAGGTTGGGAATGCTTGGCTTGGTAATAGTACTTGTGAAAAACATTTGGTACAGTAATTACAAACTAAATAGTTGCAAATACATAAAAGCAGACCATTTTAGGCTGCACCAACAAAAGTATAGTTTCCAAATCACAGGAAGTAATAACTACAGATTACTCTGCATTGCTCTTATCCCATATCAAGCATTCTGTCCAATTCTGAGCACTGCACAATGGCTTCTGCACAGAACAAATTAAACTGAGTTGCAATATAAATTGTGTTAACTGATGCCACAATATCAGAGACTATATATATAAATAGTACCTGACTTTTCCTTTAGGGGCAAGACATCACTAGTATATATCAACATCACCAGTTAATTAAAAAACAAAAGATATCTCTGGGTCTTTCTTGTAGATCTCCAAATAATTATTTGAAGGAACAGATTTAAGTGTTGTGAGTCGGCTTAGCTCTAAATCAATCTCTGATTCAGGAAAATCATAGTTGGCTGTTACATCCAAAATGGACAGATACCTTTTTGGTTTTCCCTCCAATCTAACAGGAGAAACTAGTTGCAACTTTTTTTTCACTAAAGAGTAATAATAAATTCAAACCATGTTTGCTAGTTCAAATGTAAAGAGAAATTATCCAGTACTCTAACCAAGTAATAGGCGACTCCACCTGCACAATGGGAAAAGAATCGCGGAGAAGGGAGCACAAAACCTTTTCTTTCTTACAACTCTTAGCTTGCATAATCTGAAACATGAGGTATGGCTGAGCTCAAACAATCAACTGAGGCTTCATAAATAAGTGCACCTCCTTATAGCCCTCTGATCCTTCTAACCATCTCATACTTGCTTTGATGCAAATATTCTGGGTTGTATTAAGCCACAATTTCCTATTTCATTCAGATAACGAATGTCAATCAACCAAGAAAACAAGGCATGAAGAAGCAGGAAGAAAGGGAGGAGTATTCAGTATCAAGATTGTTTAAGGCTTCATATATTTGAGAACTTTAATCATTTTTGCAAAGCTGTTCAAAGCAAAGTGTGAGCATGTGACAGATTCACAAGCTCACCAAGTATCTTCTTGTTTAGGACTGGGAAAACAGATATCAGAGTGTGACTGACATGGAATTGGAACAATGCCTCCTGAATCAAAATAAGCATTATTTGTAGGGTAAGTATATGCTTATGCAAGACACATCCGTTCTTAGTTCATGATGGAGTACCCAACTGCAACTATGGCAAATAACACTTTGGCCCATAAAGATATATAATAAAATGGCAATAGTTTCCCCTGTTCCCTCCAACCCCCCCTAAACCAGCTTTTTAAAATGAACACCTACCACATGAATAGCCCATGCTTAACTTACATTTGTGTTGGAGAGACAGTAAGCCAGGATGGGCTGTGTACAATTTGCATATTTGAAGTGCACTGAGTGAACGTCATCAAAAATTATCCCAACAGTTTCTGAATATATTTAACTCAGTTGTATATTTACATCAGGAGTCAACAGGCTATGGGTATTAGACCTTTGATTTTCAATCCTCATCAGCCTAAACAGCATACCAATGGCAAGGAACTGTGGAATTGTAATCCAAAATGTCTGGAAGACATCAGATTAGCTACTATTAATTTAAACATTAGTCTGTAACTAGAGATGGCCAGAAATTACATGTAATTCCATGCAAGCAACTGGAAAATAAGGAAATAAGAGAAAGCAGAAATAGTTAGCAGCCTAGTAATGTTTTGAACTATATTTACTAAATTGTTTTTTGTAGGATTTACTGAAGAAAAACTGTAGATTATAGGAGATCCTTCAGGGTCACTCAGCAGATGATAAACCTGTAGACTGGATCGAAACCAAGTCAGATGCACTTAATTGCCATGAAAATCAATGGGACAAGTTATGATGAAGTTTTGCCAACAACGTCAATAGGAGCCAACTTAGCTGGAACTCAATCCATTATTATTATTTATTATTATTAGCAAATTGCTTTTTAAAAATAACTGAAGCTACTTTGAAGAGATATGACCAAAAACACTAAAAGACCAAAAACAGCAACCAAAAAAGCAAAATCGTTTTTGAAATTAAAATACCACTTTGAAAAATAGCATGTCATGACATTCCAGGCATTACAATTCCTTTAATGTTCATTAATGCAATAACATTAAAGAATTATCATCCCATGGATTGTTTTGATGCTACACTTGAACAAACAGAACTAGGGCTCTTTTTTTTAGGGCTCAGAAAAGCATTTGAAAGAGGTGCTTCAAGAATGTGCAGGAGCACAAAGCATCTCACTTTGAACCATTAAAGCAGTCGCAAGGCTTGGGCAGTTGTTTTGCAAAGCATGTTAAGACAACCAGGAGCAGTTTTTGAAGCAGCCACCTGAGCCTTGCAAAATATGTAACTGTTACATCAATGCAAAGAGACTGCCTTGGTTGCACTTTTGCACAGCTGTCTGTCTCTTCAGTTTTTCCATTAATTTGGCTCTAGAAGAGCCCTCTGACTCTTCAAAATTAAATTTCCAAGCAAGCAACCTGTGGCATCAAGATTACACATAGCACAAAACCACATTTTTACTTTAGTGCTATTTTTGTACGAAACACATTCTGTACAATGCAGCGCCGAGAGAAAAGGAATACTGTATATGAAGTGGTCTTACATCAATGCATACCATTAGTTCATCCAGCTCAATAGTGTCTCTTCCACAGAGATGATACTGACAAGGGTTTTATGAGGTTTGAGATAGGAAATTTTCTGAGGTCTGTTGACAGATACCAGAGATTTAATTTGGATCTTCCTGCACAAAAACCATGGCTTCTTTTCCAAACTGTGTCCCTTCCTCAGTCATGGTAATTGTAACAGTGGCACTGCTAAGCTTGAAGATTATATGGTCAAATTACATCCAATTTTGTAATTTGGGGCATGCCATTGGGTGTACATTTTTTTCATGTCTTCCTCCTCCTTCTTCCCCAAGTGCGCTTTAATAAAATTTGCAAAAAAAACAAGCACAATGTCCTTGCATATGCAACTACATTAATTCCCCCCCCCCTTTTATGGAATTCTATGGATTGATAAAACACCTAATAAACATGAAGTATCTTACAGACTTGAATATACAAACACTGAAACTTCTAGACTGAGAATGTTTTAAAAGATGGTTGATACAAGAAATGACTGTGGCAGCAGACCATGATATGATCATTTCTGTACTAAGTAATCACTTATAATTATTTTTGTCTATTCAGAATATTAACACGTTATAGTACACAGGAAGAAGCTGATGCATACTGACTATCCTTAATATGTACAGGCCTACTTCCTACTGGAAGCCAATCCACTTATTGCCTGTGATCCTCTAATCAGGCACTTACATTTTTATTAATAAAATGGATTATAAGCAGAGCTACCTATCCGAGCTGCAGTTATCTGGATCATTAAATAGAAGCAAACTCAATTTTTTCAATAACTCTGTGTAGTCATCTAGCAGTCACCTGGATTTTTGCAGGCGGGTAAGATAGCCCTACCATAAAGTGCTACACCGAGAAAAATAATTCAAACACTTTAAAATAAAGAATGTCTTGAAATTTAGAAATATGTTACCTGCCCACAGACCTCAGTTTCTCTTTCGGAATAAACAGGCTACACATAAAGACTTGATGTATATGTTATTAGTTTGTGCAACTATTTTCACAAGGCATGGTCCCATGCTTTCTGCACCCATAATGTTAGCATGAACCCATCTGTTGTTGCAACTTTCTGATACAGGCAGTACTAATGTGGTTCCTGCCTGGATGATCGGCAACTCTAAGATACTGATAATATATGGATCACACTGAAATCTGCAATTTAATTCCACTGAAGATAACATAATATACCTATTCATTTCACTGGAGCAATGTAATGGTAATAGATTAATGCAGAAGCATCTTGGGAATATATCACAGTCACCCTGATGTTTGTATTAAATGAACAAAACAGGACATCTTTGTTCAAATATATAATCTGTTGTATGAACAAAGAAACAACATTCAGTTTCAAAAATTAGAAAGAAGCTAAATTGTTTTGTGTTAAGACAAAAAGACCGCACAGACTTCTAAGTAAGGCTTACAACTTGGTGAAAATAAAATGTACCAATTGTGTTCAGGATGTGGGCACAAAAAGAACATATAAATGTGGTTTCATTTCCCAAACAAGATAAAAAATAAACACACAGGCTATTTATGAAGATGGTTCAAATAAGCTGGTAGAAAAAATCCAAACCCAACCCAAATATATACACTTTTTTCTCAGTGCAGTCAAATGAAAATAGAGGGATTTGAAAATAATGGCATGAAGAATGAATATCAGAAAACACAAATATTCAGAATTAATTATTTAATCAGGTCTGCTTTTGAAAATGGGAGGGGAGAGAGGGAAAATATACTTAGCTAGAACTCTACCTCTTTAAAGATTCCTAAAAAGAGATAATGATAACTAATTCTGAGAACTGCCTATTATAAAAATAAAGATACTGAAATGAACTGCTCTTAAAATAAGAATTGTACTAGAAAATACCAATTGTTTTGTATGAAAGAAGACTACTCATTCAGTGACAGACAGTGTTTATTTCGCATCAGGTTTTGTGGATTACTTTGTGTTAACATTTTCTAGCACAGTGCAAACGTACTACAGTTTAATTTCTACTTGTAATAGTTTATCACAACCTTGGAGCTCTTGCATATTACTGTTACTGCTTATGGGGGGCAACGGAATGGACTGTGACAGCATAACCATCCAGACTGGCAGTGAATCAAGGCACTGCCAGATCCTAGAAAAATGGAGCATGAAGTAGGTTTAACTCCACAAAAATGCTTGTTATGCTAATATGAAATTTATGCAGCAATCACAAAATCAAAGGTGGTAGTCATGAACAATGATTTTATGGGCTATATATTCTTCCACTAGGCCATATCAGTTGGGAGTACCTTATAGTCATCATAATCTTTCTCATCTAGCAAATTAATTTTGTCCAGTTCTACTAATTGTTCTGGAGTCGGCTTATCTGGCAATTGGTCGATGTCAGCTTGCTCATAAATTGGCTTTCCTTTTAAGAAGAGTTCCTCCCAGTCACGCATTAGCTTTGCAGGAATTAAACTGTGGAAATCAAGGAAAACAAAATTGTGTGCAGAATGAAGGGAACATGCTTTTAATCAATGGTAGTGATCAATGATAAAATGAAATATGGAACATAAGAAATTACTCTGAAAAGAGGAAGACACAGCATATTCCTCAGATAAATCATATTTACGCTCAATTACACATTAGGAAAATCAGTTTTTCCCCCAACCAACTTGGGAGTTGGTGCGTATGTATATGTGTGTGTTTGTGTATGTTGGGATATCATTTTACACTCAAGCTGTTGAAAACAAGCAAATGGGCAGGAAATTGAAGTAACTACAGATATTGCTAAAATGTATGGATATCTTTTAAGACTAGTAGCTTGGGAAAGACTAGTTGCCTAGTGAATTGTATGCTATTCTGTGACTTCATCCATGCTCCCAATATCTCCACTTTTCTTTTATTGTGTCAAAAAGAAGCAACCACTAAATTTGGATCAATCCAAGTTAAGCTCAATTAGTTTAACAGATCTGGGATTCAATATTAGAAAGGACATATATACTGTTTGACAAGGTTTAATCTTAATATTTTCCACTTAAGAAAATTATTCCTGGATATACAAGGGACATTATTCTGAATATGCGTATGGGGGGGAAAAATCAGAATTTGATCAGAAATATCTGATCAATAAATGACCAAAAACAGATGGTCTCATATGGAACTATTTTCATTTTCTTGAGAGTATACAATTTATTTTTATTTGAAAAGATGCACTAAATTGTTGAGCATAAATACATCAACTATTATTGTGCTATCCTCTAACACTAGAGGATTTAATCAGTTATTTTATAAATAATAAGCCTAAAACAGTTTGGTTTTTTCCCCCTTAAATGAATGTTAGAACTCACTAAATGAGATACTCAGGAGTACAAGAAGACATAAAATACAACATTTGATTATCTGGTACATGAATCTCAATGGATGTCCATTTTGGCATTTGGATGTCACATTTCTACACATTAAATATTATGTTTAACTCAACAATGGTATTATTCTATGTCTATTTGACATTTATGTCTGATCAGACAGAAACAGATGGATTCAGTTAATTGTTGGAGATGTGAAATCCAAAATTTAACATTGATTCATATGATTTGGTCATGTGCTATAAAATTGTGTTTCTGAAGAGAAGTTATTCCACATATTTATTCTGGAAGACTTGTTTTTTTCATAGATTCTTATGCTCTTCTGAATTATGCATCAATGATTTGGAAATGAACAGGAGGACACCAGTAATGGATATTGCACTTTCATGGGTGCAAAAATTTATATTTTAGCCTGGAAGGATACCTATTCTTCATCAATTATACAATAGTCTTATCTCAGTATTTGGCCCTATATACTGAGTTCCCAAGCTCAAATTTTACTCAGGTTTCATTGCTGTTTTCTTTCTTCTACACTCCTGAGAATCAAACTGAAGTGATAGATTCTCTTCTACTGAAACTGAAGTGAACTATATTTCCGTAAGTTTGCTCACTTTTTCCAAGATAGCAAAAAGAAAACGAAAAAACAAAACAAATGAAAAACAAAAACTATATATATTAGGGACTTACTTATTTGTCAGCGTTCTATATTCTCCTATTTTAGTTGCTAAATCAATGATTTGTTCAACCACTTCCCAGCAAATTTCATAATGCTTCTCATAGCGAGCCTCAGCTCTTTCAGCAGCAAGTTTTGCATGGAGTTGTTTTTCTCTAAGGGTTTGTTCTGCAAGTTCAATTTTCTCTTGTTCTGCAAGAGCCTAAAAGGAGATGGGAAAAAACTGGTCAATTTCCTCGAATTGATAAGACAAGAATCTGAAGTGAAATGTACGGGTAGTCCTCACTTAACAACTGTTCGTTTAACAATGGTTCAAAGTTACGATGGCCTCAGAAAAAGCACTTTACAATCTGTACTTGCACTTACAACCATCGCAGACTGTTGCACCACCCCCCGCAGCCATAAGATCATGATTTCCTACCTTTTTACAATGGTCATTAAGCGAATCACATGGTCGTTAAGCAAATTCTGGCAAAAAAAAGTCCATTGGAGAAGCCGGATTCGCTTAGCAACCACATGATTCACTTAACCATGTGATTCGCTTAACAACCATTATAAAAATGGTCATAAAATTGGGTCCAGTC